TGCTTAGGGTTGCGAACACAGCTTTAAATTAGAGTTGTTCCTTGTTCTTGTACCTTTTCCCCTTTTGGGGTCACACGAGCTGCCTTTTCTCTTGTCTCCTTGTTTTTGGGAACTCCCCCTGAAAAATTATTTGTCACCAGAAATGCTATCTATCTCTGGGTCTCTCTCAAGAAATTTTTTCCATTGTTCTCCCTCCCCATTTTTCTACTACACCTAGCCCATCATGACCTATTTTCTCAGGAGTCAGTCCATACTTGGTTTCTAAGCTAATTCTTAGAAAAATTAATGAGTGATAACTGAGTTATCAACAACCAATCTCGGTTTAACATAATTATAGCTGCCATTTACTGAAGCAACATTGTAAGTTCCTTACATGTATTATATCATTTCATCTTTACACAAACCCCATAAATTATTATTCTACATTTTAAAGATGATGAAACTAAGGCCCAGAAGTGAAATAACTTATTTTTTTTAAAGATTTTATTTATTTATTCATGAGAGACAGAGAGAGAGAGAGCGAGGCAGAGGGAGAAGCAGGCTCCCAAGGAGCAGGGAGCCCGATGCGGGACTCGATCCCAGGACCCTGAGATCATGACCTGAGCCGAAGGCAGACGCTTAACCATCTGAGCCACCCAGGTGCCCGTGAAATAACTTATTCAATGTGATATATCTAGGAAGTGGTGGAGTTTGGATCAACTTCCAGTCAGTTTGATTGCTTTTAACCACTTCGCTAAATTGGCATTCCTCCCTCAGCCCCCAACACACATGCCACTGCTAATTTTGCATTAGTACGATTATAAACTGGGAAGTACAGCACCCTGGGCAGTCAGAGATTTGGATGTGAGAAGATTCTTCTCTGAATCCAATAGCCCACACTGCATGGGAACCAAAAATTTAGCCTAATCAGAAGACTACCTTTTATAATGCATACTTATTTTTTCTTTGCTTTATCGAAGAACATGAGTCTCTTTTACACAATTCACAAGTGGCCCATTTTCAATATTTATTTCAGCATTTAAATCTAAGAGGAAAGCTGAGGTTACATAAATAACTTTAGCAGATGAAAACACCACAGCTCCTCCATCCCAGGACTGGCTGTGAGAATGTGTTCAATGGGATGTACATTACACACCTCTCACAAGGCTGGAAAGAATCAAAGGGCAGCAATAACTGTGAGGTTCAATCAAAACTGACCATTCCATTCCACCTGTTTTATTGAGAACAGAACGCAGTAGGCTGCCTTTGCTCCTGCTTCTCCCGCTCTGCGCTCCTCACAGCTATACTTGCTTGAGCACTCCTTGTAGCCAAGACACCCCACATCCCACCCTATCTGGTTTTAAAATGTGTCTAGTGGGCAAGACTTGCTCCCAGATCTTTGTTTCTAATATCCTTCCCCACAGAAAGGAACCATTGTTTCTGAAAAAATATGACTGATTCAGGCCCGAGGCACTGCAAGTACAAGATGACTCTAGAATACTTTGTTATACCAGAAAGAAAGAAAATACTAACAAAATAATGGGGATGTGAAACAGAGACATAAGAGCCAGCTTGAAGGGGTGCCCATCGATGGAATCTGGGACCATCTGAGCACTGAGGTAATTATGCACCTTAAAGAATTTATACCATTGAAAAAACTGTAAGTCTTTACTCAATACCATAGATAGATAGATAGATAGATAGATAGATAGATAGATAGATAGATAGATAATAGATAGATGATAGGGAGAGAGGGAGGGAGGAAAGAAAGAAGGAAGGCAGGCAGGTGGGTTCTTGCTAACAGTAGAATCCTGAGTGCTGGCTAATAAATGTAAAGGGAGTGCTGAAGTTGGAAACATCATTTTGTAATGGATGGCAACTGCAGGAGAAAGCAGAATATTTGCATAGTATTAAAAAATGTCTCCATGTACTCAATTTATTATTTTGAAAGAAAGAAAATAAGTTACTATGAAATGGGGAAATTGGGCCACATCTGGAGCAGATGACCAAATGCACATCATCAATGTGAGACAGATGGTTGTCCTATGCCTCCCAATGGGATACACTCTTAGACACAAAGCCACCTACATAGAATTCTGGCTAAGAAGGCATTACCTGCATCCAATCATGAGGAAATATCAGACAAACTCAAAAAAAAGAAACTCTATTTAAAAATGTTGGGAAGGACTGTATTCCCCCAGTGTCAATCTCATTAAAGAAAAAAAAGGGATCTGTAAAAATGTTTTAGATGAAAGAAGGCTGAAGAGACATGGCAACTAAATGTTACCTGCCCTAGTCTGGATCCTGTTATGGAGAAAAAAAAAAAATGCTATAAAATATATTGGTAGGCCTATTGAAAAAAATTAGAGGGCGCCTGGGTGGCTCAGTTGGTTAAGCGACTGCCTTCGGCTCAGGTCATAATCCTGGAGTCCCGGGATCGAGTCCCGCATCAGGCTCCCTGCTCCGCAGGGAGCCTGCTTCTCCCTCTGACCCTCCCCCCTCTCATGTGCTCTCTGTCTCTCTCATTCTCTCTGTCTCAGATAAATAAATAAAATCTTTAAAAAAAAAAAAAAGAAAAAAATTAGAATAGAAATATTAGATTAGAATAAAGTTTTATATCAATATAGAATTTACTGTAGTTAATAACTGGTCTGTGATTATGTACGAGAATATTCCTACTCTAAGGAAAAAATACACTGACATACCCAGGGGTAAAGAGTTCTAATCCATACAACTCATCCTCAAGTGGTTCAGTTTGGGAGAAAGAAACAGCAAACCAGATATAATGTAAACAGTAAGTGAATCTGGGTGTATATGTCTTTTGTACTATTTTATTGTTGTAATTTTTCTGCAGGCTTAGAATTACTTCTGAATAAAAGAAAGAAAAGAAAAGAGTAAAAAAAAATGTGGCCTTGATCAGGGAAAACCCTTATAGCTCAGATCAATGTTTGCTAAGATTTTCCCACCAGTACGTTGGCAACACACAACACTGATAAGTAAACTAAGTGGTGGGTTAGAGGCAATTTGAAGTGCATTAAGTTTTACTTATGTTCAGTTACCAAAAACTTATTGAACACCTATCATGTGCCAGATAATGTGCTATGATAAGCTTTTTTTCTCCTCCTTAAGAAAGCATACTGGACTATGTGTGAATGAGAATAATAAAGAAAAATATGAAGAAGAAAATAATTCACAATCATAATTTATTAATAGCAAATTATTTGTGATAAATCTAATGTTCTCCACTCACCTCTGTGCATTAGAAACTCATTTGAAAGCCATTGGCTGAGTTGACACAGCTCAAGCCATTTTCTTTTTTCACCTTGAGGCCCAGAAACGTGTGGCTCCCTTACCTTATTTCTGTGACCAGCCCATGTTCCTTAGTTTCAAAGTTCATGCTTTCCCACTGCTAGAAAATCTGCCTGAAAAACCTATAAAGTACTTCTGTCTCCTTAAGGATGAGGCCCAACTTTGCAGTGTCATTAAGTCAGAATTTGGAGTCCTGCTGTTAACCTCTGCATAGTCCAATGAGACACCCAATCCTCCCAGATGGTGACTGTCAACTTGTGTGTGCACCTCTGTCTCAGTATATAGGCTCTGAGACTCCTGACACCATGCATTGCCTTATTATATTATTGAAGGTTCAGCTTGATATATTTACGGTTCACCCTCAAGAAACTCTCAACCCACTCTGGGTCATCAGAGTACAATGGAAAGCACTCTTGGGTTTTGGCACTTGACAATTCTCGGAACAGATTTAGCTCTGTCACTTACTGAATGAATGCTTACAGCAGAATTATATAATATCTCTAATCCTGTTTCCTCTCTTTAAAGTCAAAATAATGGTGCTATATTTCTCAGAGGATGGTTGTAAGAATTAAGTGAGATAGTGTTTGGCTGGAAAATGTTAATCATTAAAATTACTTTCAGAAGATAAACACAATTTTTATTTTAATGGCTGGAAGCAGGATTCCTCTTTAGGGTGATATGCTCCTTGTTTAAACTGCTTCTCGAGGAGAGCACGGCCCGAAGGTTATGGTTGGAAGGACCCAGGAATATGAAAGGGACAGTAAAACTACTCTGTATAGTTGAGCAACAGAAGTTAGAGGATAAAACAACAACCACAATGACAAGAAAACAAAACAAGAAAGTTAAGAAGAAAGAAATAAGAGAAAGGTTTGTCTACATAGTAGGGTGCCAAAGAGGCTTGTAGGAGGTGGACGGTTTAGTGTTAAATGTTGAGTTGTTGACATTGCAACAAGTTAGCCCTCTGTCTTCCCAAACTTCCTATTAAATCTGTGACAAGTGAATGATCTTGATTTTGTTTTGTTTGTAGTTTGTTTCCATAATGCATATTAAGGTGAAAAAAGTGAGTTTCATGACTAGGACAGCATTGAGCAGAGAAGAATCAACAGGTGCTGAAGGGAAGAGCAAGCAGGACTGAGAACTTTGTAGGAAAAGTAGGACCTAGAAGAGCCTCTGAGAAGGAATCTCTGACAAAGCACAGAAACCTTGAGGGATAATGAGATGGAGACTTAACCTGACATATAGATTTAATCCTTATTATAGGTAAGAGAATGGACTTGGCTCAAAGAGCCTAGTGTTCAAAGTATTTTAAACTAGGTAAAATACTAAAACTTGCAAAGTATGATAGATCCACAGTCTTTTATCTATAATTCCAAAATACTAATTGGTCTGAAATGTTTTGTTCAGCATCAATACTCTAAAAAAAAAAAATACTCTATCAGTGGAAAAAGCTGACCTTATTCACCATTAGGCTGCCAATCATCTTTCTTTATTGTGACGGTGGGTGTATTCATACCTCTTGCTGAAGAGTTGTATGTGTTGGATTATGGTGCCGCTTAGACTCTGTGAGGATTATTGGCCATATAGGCATATATGCCACTTGTCTTTACTCAGAAAATTCTGAATTCTTAAACATATCTGGGGTTTTGGATAAGAGATTACAAACAGTGCAGAAAAACAGAGGAAATTTTAAATGAGTGATAAAAGAGGATTACCTTCCAGTGTATTTCTAAAGCTGAAATTGGCAGCTTTATCCATGGAATCCGATTCATACTGGGTCAGACTTAGGCAGAATTCCACATCAGCGGAGGAGGGCAGCCTCGGGGTCCTGGCTTTGTCATGGTTTCCGGGATTGCGCCGAAGCGGTCCCTCCGGAGCTCCGTCGCATAAAACCTGCTGGCTGTTGTACTCCTCCAGGCGGGTGCAGATTATCTACACAAAAACCTTTACGTTAAAGGAGTTGTGGCCGCCTCAACATCAAAGTGGGGAAGGCAGGGAGATTCACCGAGAGTTCCATATCTTAAAGGAAGTTGTTGAAGGAAGCAGCCTTCTGAGGGTTGCCGAATAAGCAGTGAAAGCTAAAATCTAGAACAGAATTCTCATCTTGTATCTACTTAAGAAAATGAGTCAAATTTCCTAGGCCTCATCGATCGAAGGAGGATAATAAAAATGACTTCATATAATTTTGTCAAATATTTATTTGATGAGAACATTAGCCTGACAAACATCTGTTAAACATCCATTGTGTGACTTTGTTAGTTGTCTGCCCACGAAGCTAGCCCTGGTCCCGAGTTTACGTCTGTGCCATCTCCTGTTTTCTCTCTCTACATATCTTCTCTTTTGGCTCTCACAAGTTTCATGGCTTACATGCCAACTACTTGGTGAGAACTCCCTAGTTCCTATCTCTAGTTCAAAACCACTCCTCTGAACTTTAAACCTGTATATCCATCTCTGACTTCCTATTTCAGTCTTATCTCCCATGCATCTCACATGTCACGTTTAAACTCCCCAAACTCTGTTCCTCTTCCCATATTTCCTATCACACCAAACATCCTGAAGCTCAAACCTATGAGTCATCCTTTTTAAGCCAGAACTGGTGACTTTTCATTTGTATTTTATTCTCTTATGTCTTTCGCTTATGATTGAAATCATTAGCCAGCCTTGTCAATTGTACCTCCAGAATATAGCTTGAATCTGGGCACCATTCTTCAATTTGTTTACAAATGATGCGATCTGACTGCTAAAGTCAGGTTGGCTACCCTTCTCCTAGCATTACTTGTGCTTCTCCCTGCCATGACTTTTTTCATGCCTAAGCATGCTCACTCCTTGCCATGGATCTGACATCTGACCTTGTCTTCAAGGCCAAGGCAATATCTTAGAAAAAACAGACGCTGTTAACTCTGACTTTGAAAGTAATTCAAAAGGATCTGACTCTAAATAGGAAGAATTTTGAGGAATTCTTCACTGAATTATTTTGCTTATAGTTTCATTTATAGGTAGGCAGAAGAATGAACTACAATAAAAATATTTCACTACAGAAGTCAAAAGGAGCTCTTTCAGTATAAATATAAATTAAAATTTGTAAAAGATTAAAAATATTACACTATAATTTAATAAGCAGATTTATCTTTATTTTTTGGTCTCGGTGCTATATAAATTAATTCATCTTAAAATCACTGATGCCTTAGATTCAGTGAGAGCAATGAACTAAGTAGCAAGATATCAATCCTAACCCAAAACAAGAAGTGCAGAGAACCACCCTGCCATGACCGACTGTTCATAACAGGTACATACTTCCACAGGAGGCCTGTGCCCACTGAGCAGATAACATCATTCTTTGTCAAATGTAGACTTCATTTACTTTAGACTCCCTTGATAAACAATCAGTATCACTTCCCTTAGAAAATGTGATCTCCACGAGGACAACTTTATTATTATTACTGTTCACCTAATCTAGAATAGAGGCTCAATCAACATTTGATGGATGAAAAACAAATCAATGGACGAACCAATGAATCTTCAACTACAAACATGTGTTCAGCAGACTTTTTAACTCATCCTGTAATTGGTATCAACCTCTGCCCTGGAAGGTATTTTTTAAATGTATCATTTTTATTAAACATATATTGAGGCCCTATTCTGTTCCAGATCATCAGGAAGGCATCGCTGTGTACATTTTTTAAATTTCACACAACCACCTTGTAGGTTTATATGATTTTTCTTTCCTATTTTAATGATGAGGAAATGCAGTCTGAGTACGGAAGAATACAAAGGGCTAGTAGCATCTAAAACCCTGTATTATGATGAATACTTTTATGGGCAACAGGCAAGGCACATGGAACAATATTTTAAAAGTGAAAAGCCTTCCTGGTCACTTGTTTGCATCACAGTTAAAAATAATCAAGACAATCTTATCAGTCTCCTGCTACAGTGAGTTTGCCCTCTAGAGAAATGTAAAAGCAAATTCAATTATCATGAGATGGAACTGAATGAGCCATGCCCCCCAGGAATAGCTGGTACTATGTTCAACGAGAGACACGTAGAGAAGCTTTCAATTTTGGGTCACTAAGATATCACTTATGAATTGAAGCATTGTGTGTTGGAAAAGAACCGGATGTCAAATTCCGGTAGATGTAGGCGTCAGTTCCGGCCCTGCTACTTACTCGCGATGTGTCAGTGAGCACATTATTTAGACTTGCTAAGTCTCAATTTTCTCAACTATAATATGAAATCACATTAAATATAATAGGATATAATAAAAATATACTATTATGTAACACAGTAATGTATAATTCACATCTACTATATTAATAATAAAATAGAATAGTAATAGAAAGTAGCACAGTTTTTTTGCCCAGCAAATGTCGGTCTCCAGGTTTCTTCACACTTCACAACATTCCTCAATTCTTTTATCCACGCATAATTGAGAAATAGATCTGTTGGGTGACTTGTCTAAGGTCATGTGATGCTTAGAGCCAGGGCTAGAACATTAATACACAGTGCTGATTCCAAATGTATATATCCACTACATTTATTACTGCCTGTAAATGGCTTAGGAATGGTTGAATAAAGCTAACCTAGCTTTTGCCTTGAATATAATATGTTGGATTCCTTTATCATGTCGATTAACTAGACATCACGACAGGTACATAAATGAAATCATTTCATTCCTGTTGGAATAATAAACCATCTCAGGACATTTTCGAAAGATCCTACTGCCTCAAAAACTCCTATAGCAGACTCCTTTAAATTAGAGAGGTTTGAATGGAACTATTTTTGCTGAAATGTCAACTGCCAAGTGACTAAGTGTTCAGATGACTGGATGTATTAGTAACAAGGAGGAAATCTACCCTGGTTCCAGAAATAATTTGAAAAACTTAGTTCCAAGTGATCATGTTTGTATTTGTTACAGAAGGAGAGTCAGGGAGGAGAAATCGTTAAACACAATGGTTAGGATCATGGAGCTGAGAGTCAGACATGATTTCTAGTATTGACTATTATTAGATACATGACCTTGGGCAAATTACTTAAGCTCTCTGAGTATTAAGTTTTTCATCTGTACATGGGTATTATAAAAGCTTTTAATGAAGGATCAAATAATTTAACATATGCAAAGCACTTAGTATACAGTTTCAGGTATAGAGTGTTTAATAATAATTGCTTTTGGGGCGCCTGGGTGGCTCAGTTGGTTGAGTGTCTGACTTTTGATTTCTGCTCAGGTGATGATCTCATGGCTGTGGGATCAAGCTCAGCGGGGAGTCTGCTTGAGATTCTCTCTCTGCTCTCCCTCTATCCCTAGTCCCCCCAAATAAAATCTTTTTTAAAAAATGACAGCTATTATACTATTATTGAATATAAGCCCATTGGGCAAGCCACCAAATTGTAATAACAAACATTGATATGTCATATAAAGTTATGTTATAGTAATAATTTCCACACATGGAACTCAAAGAATATGTCAGATACTAAACCAGTCATTTTACATTAACAGATTCCATTGAATCCCTCCACAATAATGCTTTAAGATATATTATTCTAATTTTAAAGGAAAAGGTCCCAGAATAAGTAACTTGTCCAGTATCTTGTAGTGATGGAAGTTACAAAAGTCCACTGAAACTCGTGTTTCTGTGATTCAAAAGATTATACCTTCCACTACATTATTCTGCTTTCCATTGCATTTAGTGCTTTCATTAACACAGAAAACAAGCATATATAATAACTGCACCCCATTTTTTTCTGTTGAGATAAACCAAAGGTCAAAGACTCTAAATAATTTGTTCACTATCATCTGGTAAGTGGCAGAGGTCCTATGATGAGGAAGTTCTTCTTTTTCTATTTGAACACTGGTGATTTATAACATATGATGGGGGGAAAAATCAAGTGTCCCAAGTCAAATGAAAAAAGAGAGATAGAAAGAAGAAAGATGTATTAATTGAGGTGAAGCTAGATGGTGTTCTCTTAAACTTAAGTAAATAGCAACAAACTACCAGTTATTAGAAGCTGTCAGGAGCAAAGATTCTATTAGGGCATTAGAGATTTATTTGTGGGAAAAAAAAAAAAAGTAAACCATATGACATTCCACAGAATCTTTTCCATAAAGAAAAAAAAGAAGCTGTTATTTCACTGAGCTGTTGCCATGGTTACCTAAAACCCATGACTCTCTGCTGAAATGTGACTTTTTTCTTTTTTCTTCCCACTGTTCGCTTCCATGTGATGTGCTTTTCACCTGATGAGTGAATTCCCTGGCCACATTTCAGTCATGGCTATCATCTAGGAATGTTTATTTCTCTTTATTCTGATCCATCATGACAGCTACCCTGATCTACCTTTGCTTTTTAAGGCTGGTCTATCAGCTGCTTGCATAACATTGGATCTAATTGTGTTGAGCACAGGTATTTGTACTTTAGTGTTATTAAGGACCCCCATCTCCAAAAATGTTGGACTGTTTTAATTGATGACAAACATGCTTCTACATTAAAAGCTCTTGGCATTAAAGAACTAAATGAAAAAATATATACAAAAAAGACATGCATTCTGAATATGAGAAAAATAGTTTTCTAAACATACTAACACTGATTTACATATTATTTTATTTAATAGAAAACCCTATCAGTGAGTATTATTAATCTCACTTAAATAACACTCACTTAAATAACACTGCTTTATTTTCTCTATTGTATATTCTTTTTTCCTTTTTGCTGCATAAACATACATATATAGAAGCCCAGAGAGAACTACATAAAATGTTTTATTCTACGTGTTCAGTGAGTCACTGCTTATTTTGCATTGTTGTGTCCTTGGCCTTGGGGATCCAGTCCTATAAAGAAGTATGGTCTAAGGTTCTAGAAATCCAGGCATGCGGAGTTTAATTTTTGATGTATGTTATTATTAGAGCTAACATTTCTATGATTTTTAGTTTTGTTTAATTCAGCATATGTTTATAAAGCCCATTATATGCATATATCATGGTTCTGAGCTCTGTGGATACAAAAATAAATTAGAAATGGTCTCTTCCTTGGAGAAGCTGACAGTCTGATAGACAAAAACAGGTTTGAAAACAATGACATGTACTGAAGAGTTATAGGTGCCATCATATAAATCTGTACAAAGCTCAAAGGGGTGAGGGTCAATTCTACCTGAGTAAGGGATGTACATCAGTAAGAGTCTAATGGAATATTTTTATTAACATAAATGAAAAGGACTACATCAGAATGTCTGTCCCAGTTGTCTATGCAACTGAATTTTAAGGGAGTCCAAGTGGCTACAAGTCAAATTTTATATCCATAAATTAGTGACTTAATTGATCTCTTCTGAGCCTAAATGGCTCCATATTAACAGAGAAACAACATTGGAGTCAGAAGCACCAGGTTTCAGTCCTCAGCTGTGTGACCTTGGAGAAATCATACCTTTTTGGGGCCTCTATCTTCTTTTATAAAATAAGGGCACTACACCACACACCACTGAGTGTCTCTTAGCTCACAGTTAATAAATGCTATGAATTTCTAAAACCTCTGTTTTTGCGTTGTAAAACATATCTGACACTGAGGAAGAAATGGAGGCTTGGCATTCAAAGGGCTAGCAGTCTAGCTAATTTCGAAGGTCTCTGTGAGTTCACTGAGTCGGGAAGCTATTTGATTCTCCCTTCTCAGAGAGCAGCTCACTTCTCGATTTGAGTGTACAATTAGGCGAAAACATTTAAACTAGGGGTGTGTTTATTACAGAACCTGAGTTTATAAAGTGAAATAGATACCAAAACAACTTCCAGATTCATTAAATCGGTGATTCTCAATGCTGACTTCACATTAGAATCACAAAGGAAGGTTTCATTTATTTATTTTTAAAGATTTTTTTTTCTTTATTTTAGAGAAAGAGAGGGAGCATGAGCAGGAGGGGCAGAGGGAGAGGGAGAGAGAATCTCAAGCAGACTCCATGCTGAGCGTGGAGCTTGATGTGGGCCTGGATCTCACGACCTGAGCCGAAACCAAGAGTCAGACACTTAACCGACTGAGCCACCCAGGCGTCCCACAACAGAAGGTTTTAAAAATGCAGATGCCTGGGGACGCCTGGGTGGCTCAGTCGTTTGGGCGCCAGACTCTTGGTTTTGGCTAGGGTCATGATCTCAGGGTTGTGGGATGGAGCCCCATATGGGGAGTCTGCTTGAGGATTCTCTTGCTCTATCTCCCTTTGCCCCCCTCCCCCCAAAATAAATAAATAAATCTTTTAAAAAATGTTTAAAAATGCAGATGCCTGGACTTTCCAGTGGACCACCTGAAGAGGATTTTCCAGCAGGAATTAGGTGGGTGGATCCATGCAATTTTCTTTAAGCTCCCTAAGTGGTTTAGATACTAAGAACTACTGAATTAAATGTATATAAACAACTGATCTTCGTTTTTAAAGGACAGTAACCAGAAATGGAAACAGCAACTGTCACCTCACACAGTGACACCACTCACAGTAGGCAGATACAAATTCTCTTTCATTTCCCCTTTTTTATTTAAACTATCATTTGCTTGTTTTTCTTCAATGGTCTTTGTTCACTCTGTTTCTGAATTTGATTTTTAACACCAATTACTACACAGCAGTTTAATCATTGAATAATATGGAACCTAATGACATAATTTCAGTCCAGTGTTTACCCACTAGACCCCAAAAGATTTATTTAGAAATAAAATTGGCCACAATCATAAAGAAAAGAGGGGATGGGGAGGGACTTTCCCCTCAATAAATGATTAGAAAAAAAATGCACATATAATTCTAATCATACCAACTAGCATATATCTCATGTAATCAAATATCAATTAGCATCTCTCTATTAAGCTTCCGTGTGGATGTTGTAACATTTTTGGTAATTTAGGTAAGCCACCAGGCTTTCTGGGTCAAGTGAGGCTAGGCTGTACAGTTAAGGAAAGCATTATAATGGACTGAAAATCCCTGTCCTCGCTTAACAGTATTTTAAGCAGTAACAGAGGATGAGAGAACTAGATGAGAGTTTTGCATTTTATAGATTAAGGTAGGAGGTCTGAAATCTTATTGAAATAGATTTTTTTTTCAAGCTCATCTTTTCCAGCCTTTCCTGCATAAATACACTCATTCTTCTTGGTAAATAGCTGACATTAGTGATACCAGATATGACACTATGACCATTTTTAAATGAGCTTCAATAGGCACCATTTGGAAGGTGTGTGAACTTAGTGGGGAGGGTAGGAAGCCGTTCACACTCCAAACCTGCAGAGCGCAAGACGTGAATGCCGGATTCTTCCCATCCCATTGAAACATTGGGCTTCGTTCCATAAAGCACTACTAGTCAAAAGTGCTGTATTAGAAATGTCTGGAATACAGACAGAAAAACATTTCTTCCTCCTTATGGTTTTAAAATGATAAATTATTAAAAGCATATTTCTTTGGTCACATTTTGCCCCTAATCCAGAGTGAAAAATTCATCATAGGAGAAATAGAAATTAAATTTCAGAATTGCAATCCCTTATCTTGTACCTCTAAAGTTTGCACATATTTAGAAAAAAAGCTAATTTCTTCTGCAGCCTAATGAAAAAAGATGAGACAGAGTAAGCCAGATTCTTTGGCTGAAGACATCATAGCAGTCATGTCCTTGGGAATAGTATAGGCGGTCAGGCAGCCAAGCCTGACCTGTCTCTGCTAGTTCCTAGTGATCCTGTGATCTTGTACAGGTTATCTTTATAGCTCAGTGTTTTAAACCTTAGCAAGGTGAAGGGATAGCAAAAGTATTAACTGAGTTAACTACACAGAAACACTTGCAACAAGGCTTCACACAGGCTAAATGCTCAATGTAAATTCACTGTTTTCATTATTTACCTATTTGGGCCCCAGGGTCATGATATATATTTTTTAAAAAGATTTATTCTCAATAATATTCCCCAAATTTCCCTGATGATAATAATCACCATAGACATTTAGTAAATGATGCCTTCCCAAGGACCCCACCCCCACCCCTGCTGAAGTTCTGATCAATGGGTCTAAGGGTTAGGACCAGGGATTTGTAATTTGTACACTGTATGAATTTTTTGTGAAGAAAATTTCAGAAACACTGACCTAGATCATTAACTTAATCATCTAAATATTCATTCATCCATTCATTCAACAAATACTTAATGAGCCCTTACCACTTCCCAGGCACCATCCTAGGTGCTGAGAGATACAGTGATGAACCAGATGCTCTTTATTTATTAGAGTGTAGGAACCTGGTAGAAGATATTAGACAAATAAACACACAAATACTTATGTAATTACAATTGTGAAGTATGCTATAAAGGAAAAATACAAGGTATGCTGAGGACTTTTAATAGGGGATCTTTTCTACTCTTGGCAGGAGAGATGGGGAGGAAGGTGTATGAAGACCTGCCTGAAGAAGCAATTGCTAAGGTTCTTTTAGGCTCTGATATTGGATGTCCAGGACTCCTTACCTGCCATGAGGAGAAGAAGGATGCTGGGCTGAGTAAGTTAGGGTTTGCTGGGTTGCGCCCTCCCATGTACTCATCCGTGCAAATGTCACAGCTTTTAGCATCTCGCCAATCCCAATATGGAATAGTGAAGTTCTCATCCCCGGTCAGCTTCTGGATTTCTTGTTCCCACAGCAACAAGAAGAGTCTGTGCCAAGGCAGGAAACCTGGGGCTTCATGAGCAAAATCAATGTCTCTCCAGACTTGAGACCCTCCAAGCAGTGTGTCCCTTGACACATAATAATGCATCCAGACAAAGAGGTCATAAATGTTGATGTCATTAAACTTGGGGTTTGATCCATTATTCATTTGGCCATAGGTGCCTGTGGGGATGACATAGTCTGGACTGGTGGTATGCTTCGCTAAAGTAAGGTAGGCAAGAAATTTGTTCTTCTCTGGGACACTCAGATCAAAGATGTTTCTTCTCACCAAGAGTCGCTTCTCTGTGCAGTTTGGTCCCCAAAAGCCAAACCTGCAATTTCCACAGTTGAATCCCATGAAGTTGCCAAAGCACTGGCAGGTCCTATTGTAAAAGACCGAGGGCCAAGACTCCCGGTCATCCACCCCTGTGAAGGGGAATTGAGGCCCGAGGGGGGCATTGGACAGAACGATGTCCTGACAGACACCCCTGCCAGAAAGCTGGCCACAGGGACTCCCGTCACCCCTCCACGGTGGGCAGCATTCCTTCTCCATCAGGCTCTTGGAGGAGGCACAGGCTCGAGGGAAATGACCAGTGGAGGTCTGGAAACTCCACAGCAGACAGTACAAAGCAGCCAGGAGCATTCTTCCTCTAGTCCTCACGGATCTGCTTGAGCCAGTTAATTGAGCCACACACTTCTCTTTCCAGCTACCCCTACAGTGACTATCACATGTTTTGGCTAAGACCTATATAATACCAGTCCTACCTCCAGCATCAAACACTCTCAGGCTTTATCTTAAGCTTTCATCTTCTGAAAACCACATGACTAACTTGTCTTTGGAGTTGGCATGAATCCCACCAGTGGGACAGGCCTATGTTAAAGTGAGAAACACTATTCACCATTAATAGTTTAATTCACATGGTAATAATAATGATAATAATAATAATAATAATAATGCCTGATCTAAGGAAATGTAGTTAGTTGACTAGGAGATTAATGATGATTTGAATTGGAAAATAGGAGGCAGTGTCAGGAATAGAGCTTCTCTTATTAAGAGAGTTCAGGCAATGTTAGAGATTACGGGTGCAAAATTGTTGTTTCTGAGACCATAAGTAGGCCACAGAATTTGCAGAATTCAGCTTTGCAGAAAGAGATACTTTTCAGAGCCTAGAGATTATATCTTATCTCTAGTTATATTACAGCTTATTTATTTCATACAAAGTATCTGAAGAAAAAGAAATCTTTCTGCTATGTCTCCCTGATTATCTTGATGCAGTTGACTAGTTGCTAGCAATCTAACCATTTATTTTCTGATTATTCCTACGGATGGGATAGGTGGGTGGTCTGCTTTATTGTGGAGACTTTTACTAGCTAATATCCCAAAGGAAACTCTTTTTATTTAAATGCTATAGCCACGCTGTTTCACCCATAAGTTCTAGAAATCAGAAATTGTTTTGAAATTTTGTCTACCATAGGGTCTTATAAAAGAATTCTCAATTTAGGGTGTGAATGAATAGCTTCACTATGTTTATTCAGCAGATATTTATTGATCATCTACATTCAGGAACTCTTTCTCTGTGTATAGTAAAGCTAGATAAATTGAAATGAATGGATAAAGATCTAATTCTACCACTTATGCTAGTTTTCAAATGAGCAGTATAGATATTATGTACATCAGACTTTTTTTTTTTTTTAGAGATTTTATTTATTTATTTGACAGAGACAGCGAGAGAGGGAACACAATCAGGGGGAGTGGGAGAGAGAGAGAAGCAGGCTTCCCGCTGAGCAGGGAGCCCGATGTGGGGCTCGATCCCAGGACCCTGGGACCATGACCTGAGCCGAAGGCAGACGCTTAATGACTGAGCCACCCAGGCGCCCCTGTACATCAGACTTTTAATGGAGGGGACATCTTTGTGAACTGAGGATACTGAAAAGGATTGCATAGTTTTGGATAATAGTATTCAAATTTTACTAACCTTTCAGTAACCTTGAATAAAACCTTAGCAGTGGCTGTAAGTTGGAAAGACAAAGAGACTGGAGATAATCCTTCAGGCAGGGAGAAACTACAGAGGCAGAGCTGGAGAACTGGATTCAGGTAGGCTCCCCACACTAGCAGAAATGAAACCCAGGACCAGTCCACGAAGGGACCTAAAAACTAAGTAGTTTAAACTAGGGTGAGTTGGGGCGCCTGGGTGGCTCAGATGGTTAAATGTCTGCCTTCGGCTCAGGTCATGATCCCAGGATCCTGGGATGGAGTCCCTAATCTAGTCCCGCTGAGCAGGGAGCCTGCTTCTCCCTCTGCCTCTCTCTCTCTCTCTCTCTGTCTCTTATGAATAAAAAAAAAAAAATCTTTAAACTAGGGTGAGTTGAAGAATTAGAGGATGAGAGTAGTCAAACCACAGTTGTCCCTGTGAGATTTCCTTCTTTATCCTGTTCCAGACGTGAAGTAGGGTGGTCCCCCTACAATACAGAACAATCGAGCACAAGGGAAAGCTCCAAAGAAGGCAGCCGTGTCTGGTCCCCGAGCTGCGGGGTTCTGGGGAAGACCATCACTTTCCACGTGACATCGCAGTGTCCGCCTCTGCTTTCTTCCGCTTTCTGCTGGAGTTTGTCTCATTATTTAGAAAAACATCAAGGTGCCTCCATATCCCTCTCTTGGGACTCAAAAGCAGCCTTTTTAGGTGGAAGGAGCAGTGTGTGGGTGAAGAGGAAGAGAAGAGTAAGTTTCCATGGAAATGCTGCCTTTGGCTGGGATCAGGAAGTCATCACATGATCTCCACAAGGAGGCTTAATCTTTTTTCTTCCTCCTTTCAGAGCCACCAAGAGATTAACACAGGGCTTCTTGCCCCTGGGGAGTCTTGGTTCTGTATTACTTATAACCACATGTGGCCTTTTCTAATTCTATTCCATCTACTTGCAGACAGAATTCAACTTCTAATGTTCAATTTGATTAAGAATTTTGCTTTACACTTGCCCCCCTATCAGGCTTCCCAGTGAATAACTTCACTCCGCAGGGCTTCTGTGTCTATTCTCCCAGGTCTGTTTTTTTATAGCCTTCCAAACATGCTTAGATGAATGGCAAAAATGAACTTTGTCCTCTTAATTGCCTTCACAAAAGTGATTTCTTTAACTTGACAGACCTCTTTATTATTCTTAAATATAGAACACTATCTACGCTGGCCCGCATGTATAACAGTCTTATTGTCGAAGCAAACTTCCTACATAGTAAACCCCATTTAAACTGGTTCTTCCCTGACCTCTAGATGTACATTCTCTAGGTATCTCTAGTTTATAGAATTATAGAGTATCCTATCCTATTCTAAGAGATTCTTGTATGAGTTAACACCTAAGCTAATGCAATACTCTATTAGCCAGAATTAGAACTTAGTAAATACCTTGCAAATATTTATTGACTATCAGTTATCAGGCATATGCTGAGAGATAGGGATGTTATGGTAAACACAACAGAAAGGTTTCTACCCTCATAAAGTATATAGTCTATTAAAATAACATTTTAATTTTAGTAATTTTAAGTAACATTTATAACCGTATTTTAATTTTTTTTTCCTGGTTAAATGACTTTTAAAGCTACTATAAAAGAAAAAAAGAGCTACTAGGGAAGATGGCAGGGGGACCTATCTAGTCATGAAGCATAGTCAAGGAAGGTTTTCTGGAAGAAGTTACATTACAAGTGACATCTGAAAGATTAGAAGTCTGTTTGGTGAAAAGGACAACTGGATGTGAGTGCATCCCAGGCAGAGGGAATATTACAAGCAAAGGCTCCAAAGTGGAAGGAGCATAGCACGTTCAAGGATCCTAAAGACAATTAAAGTAGCTATAACCCCAAAGACTGTGGAGACGCGATATAAGTATGGAGGTGTACATAAGGATGAGATCATAGTCCTTGATGGATTTGAACCAGAGTTGTGATGTTCTCACACATGAATTGAAAACATTTCACTGAAGCTGCTGAGATGACAACAGACATGGGGATGGGAGAAAGACTAAATCTAGAAATCACCGTTAGTGATTATTGGAGTAACTTGGGCAAGAAATTTGGCTTGGGACCAGAGTGATGATCCCTGACAAGGACAGAGTGAATGGATTTGAAAGATATAGGGGTGACGAATTCAAAAGGAGTGAGGGGTGAAGAGGAAAGAGATTTTGGGCTGACGTCTAGGTTTCTAGCTTATGTCATTAACTAAAACGAAGAAAGATTGAGGGTAAAATGTTTGTGGAAATTGAGTATGGGTTCAATTTTAGACATGCTGAATTTGAGACTTTAAGGTTAATCTAGTCATAAACAATTGTCCTCTGGTTCCTGGTGTTTGCACTGATCATTCACCCACTCGTTGGTTTTGGCCAGTCAACTTTGCTCTTTTCCCTTACTCTGATCATTTGTCTTTGCTCGTTTATTTAATGATAGTTTGAACCCTCTTCCCCAGCTTCGTTTTTTAGCCTTCTTTCTCTCAGTTTTAATAGGAGCTACTATTTATTGAATATAAGTAACATAATGAGCTCAATTTGAATATTTACCATTTCAAAAATAAATTTTACTTTGGAAATAGTTAAATATACTCAAACCAGAAAAAAATAATATAATTAATTAGCATGACCCATCATCACACTTTAACCTCCATCATCTTTCTGTAGGCATTGTTTCTTCTGTCCCACCAACATAAAAAGAAAAAAACTTCTTTAATATTTTAAAATAAATGTCAGATAACATAGATTCTCTGTAATGTCTCAGTATACACAGGTAACAATTAAGGATTTAAAAATATAACTACAATACTAGTATAACATCTCAGACAAAAAGAAAGAACAATAATTCCTTAATATCATCTGATTTCAAGTCTGTGCTCAATCTACTTTAATCATCTTAAACATATTTTTTTGAAGATCCAAACAAGATCTATATATTGCTTTTGGTTAACATATTTCTTGTTTTTAAAAATCTATGTTTCTTGGGCACCTGGGTGGCTCAGTTTGTTAAGCATCTGCCTTCGGCTCAGGTCATGATCCCAGGGTCCTGGGATCGAGTCCTGCATCAGGCTCCATGCTTAGCAGGGAATCTGCTTCTCCCTCTGACCCTCCCCACTGCTCATGTGCTCTCTCTCTCTTTCTCTCTCTCGCAAAAATAAAGCCTTTTTTTTTTTTTAAAAAAAAAACTACATTTCTGGGGCACCTGGGTGGCTCAGTCGTTAAGCGTCTGCCTTCGGCTCAGGTCATGATCCCAGGGTCCTGGGATCAAGCCCCGCATTGGGCTCCCTGCTCCGTGGGAGGCCTGCTTCTCCCTCTCCCACTCCTCCTGCTTGTGTTCCCGCTCTCGCTGTGTCTCTCTCTGTCAAATAAATAAATAAAACCTTAAAAAAAAAACTACATTTCTCATCTTTTCTTTAAAAAAAGGTTTTTATATATTTATTTGAGAGAGAAAAAGAGAGAGAGAGGGAGACAGGGACAAGCAGACTCCATGCTGAGTGCAGAGCCTGATGTAGGGCTCAATCTTATGATCCTGAGATCACGACCTGAGCCGAAATCAAAAGTCCCACCCTTAATCGACTGAGCCACCCAGGTGCCCTCTCATCTTTTTTTTTTTTTAATGAAACTTACTTATGGAAGAAACTGGATTTTGTTCAGTAGAATTATCCACTCTTCAAGGATGACTAGTTTTGTCCTTGT